TCTCAGGTGATCCAAAGATGACGCCTGCGGCATCCTTCACAACGACCATTGCCTGTTCAGCCGCTTCTCGGACGTGGACCTCATCGGATGACAAACACTCCACTAAAGCCTCGGCAAGAATCCTGGAGTCGAGGTACACAGGGCCTTCCCCGTTTGCGACGTCAAAGGCTTTGCGACCGTGTCGGACTTGAGCCAGGGCACGACCCACCTCCACAAGAGCAAAGTGCTTACAAACATCCGCCACAAACGCTGTAGCGGTTTGCTCGAGCTCAGGGATAGTGGTGGCAAAGATACAAGCTTTGATCAGCTTCTTCACTGTTGCTTCCTGCGCAATCTTCTTCGGAATAGAGGCCGACCTTTCAGACTTGTCAAGAATATCTGCCATAGCGCCCGGCTTATTCTCGAAGAGATCATTGGCATGGAGTCTGATCAAGATTGCCAAGTCTTCTGGGATGTTGTCGTAACCAATTTGAAGCTTGAGGTGCGAGCTGAGCATGCGGTAGGCTTGCTGCTTGTAGTAGATGTCCGAGGCTTTGCCGGAGTCCGTCTTGGGGACCTCCATGAGTTTACCCGCAGCGAGATCAATACCGATATCTACAGGGAAAGGCCGCTTCTCGTTGGGGCCGATCAGCCTGATATCGAAGCTTGGGTTATCATCAGAAAACTGCTGGAACGACAATTCCGGGGGGTGGTTGAGGAACTTCCGATTCCGCCCGCCAAGTTTCCCCAGGATGCGCATGGTGGTGTGTGCGTGGAAGTGGTTGTAAGGAGACGGACGCAAGTGATCCCAGAGTGCAGTCATCAGCTCGTCCATTATTGGGCCCATGATGGGATCGAGGTAGTCCGCCGTGAGGTTGTCCACGCATAGTTCGAGAGTGCGCAAACCCTGCCCGACAAGATCAGAGTCGGCACGCAAGGCGACCACAATTGGGCGCATTAGATAGCTGAGGTGAGGGAGGAGATGGCTGAGCCGGGCAGGAACAGTAAGGGTGAGTTCGACGTAGAGATCCCGCTCTTGTGGCTTACGAGCTGCAAGTAATAGGTTGTTGAAAGTTTCGAGGAGCATCTCTAGAAGCGGGAGGATCTCTTTGTACAGGAGCTCAAATCGGCCCCCACCAATGCTTCGGAAGAGAGACCTCAGGAGAAGGAAGTAGTTCATAGGCTCCTCGGCTGTGACTGAAAGCTCAATGCACTTGGTCACAATCTTCGTCACATGCGGGTGGAGGACTTGCTCATTTTGCACAGAGAACAAGGTTACGGCCATGAAGGAAAGCTTAAACATCCTCAGTAGTATCTTTGCCTTCGTCATGTCCGAGGTCCCAACCTCATCAATGCGTTCCATAAGATACTGCAAGACCATACCCGAGAACGCGGGAGAAGTGGCCTCGCTGGCCAGGAAGAACTGGGGCAGGTGAAGGAGAGCCCCATGTTCAAACATTAGCTCGTGTAGGTATGGGATTTCGGAATGGAAGACTTCGTGGAAGGTTGCGGTATCAATGCAGTGGAAAACAGTGCCAAAACTTTCCAGAAGCTCCTTCTCTTCGCGCGACATTGGGGCAGTGTACTGGCTTGCAAGGAAGTCGAATGGAGATGCGTAGTTCATCTCAGGAGGAGACTGATCCACCCCATAGTAGCGGAACACACGAGCTCCCTCGTGGAAGAGCTTCTTGATCACACTAACCTCTTCTGCATTGTAACCGTACGAAACTTCTGACCAGTTGATGGGAACGCTGTTCGGGTCAATTTGAACATCATCTGGGTTGCAATTCTTCAATTGGCGGAAGATATTCTTTAGCCCATTGATCAAGTTTCGGAAGAGGAACATGTTGTCCGAAACAGGGTCACCTCCACGATCACGTGGACTAGATGTCTTGATAGGAGAAGCCGAGAAAATGTCAATTTCATCCCAGTCCGGTGGCTGGTCCTTTTGGGCAAGGTAGTTCTCGGCGCACGGCTCAGTGTCCTGTCGGAAAACTTTGTACGCCCTGGAAACCTTGACAGCGTTCTTAAACTGGTGGTTCATCGATGCGAACTTGTCACCAATAGCATCTAAAATCATGATTAAGAAATACCGAGCCTCACGCTTGTCTTCTAATTTGGAGATATTCTCTGCCATGTTCAAGAGAAGCTTTGCACTCATCGTCTGGAAGCTGGTACCAGGGAAATCGTCGTGAAGATTTTTAGTGTAGACTTCGACGGTTCGTCGTATCTGGTCACGGCTCAAATGGTCACGAACATGGTGTATTAAATCAGCCAACATGCTGTAAGCCAATGGTCTCATGGTCTCATAGACAGTGAGGCCATCTCCGATGAGAGTCCGCTCATCTAAAAGCTCATCAATCTTCTCAAGGAAGATCTTGCGATAGTTGAAGTTGATGATGTGACGAATGGCTACCAGCAACTCCTTCCTTGCACCCGACTTCTCTCGTGGACAATCTTGAAGGAGACGCACAACGACAGAAGGAAGTGTAGGAAGGAAGTCCTGCAGCTGATGGGCATAGAGACGCAACAAATATGCCAAGAAGCTCATCGTTTTCACCTGGGCCGTGATGAACTCTCCAAACGCAGCGCGATTTTTAATTTCTTTGCACACACCCGTAAATATTGTGCCTTGGGCTGCTGCTTCTGAATGTGCCTTTTCCTGCGGCTTCGCCTGAAGCAGTAAAATCGTTTTGATGAGCGGCACAAACAGCTTGACGTTGGCCGGTACCGATGTGCGATGTGTCTGGAAGATTGAAACAACGATAATCGGGCACTCTGCGAGGACCTTGAACGATTGCATACCCTTGAGGAGAACATTACTCGACTGTTGATCGGGTCCTAGATCTGATACTGAGGCGGCAGGCGAGCTCGGTCGCGGAGACTGGAAGTTCTGTGCTGTTGCGTTGGGCGTTGATGGCATGCCTGAGGGCGTGGCCTGGTTGGGAGTGTCGAAGGTATCCCGAACCACTTGCTCCATGGTCTGGAACATTTCCTGGATAAGCTCCAAAAAAGCCTGCACCCGGTGTGCAGTGGCCTTGGCTTGGTTCCTCTCCAGATCCATTATGGTCTTCATGCATAGCACTGCATTGTCTTCATTCTCGATCCGCGCAAGTTCCATCAACAGATCGACCATCTCAACGGCGTACGGCTCCACATCGGGGGAGCCCATTGGTAATCTGTGTAGGGTCTCGAGGATGCAGTTTCGTAATTTCTGATGGACGACCAGACTTGTTAGCCAATGATGCGCAAAATTCACCGAGGGCAAGCTTGTGCCAAAGAATCTTACCTGGTCGTAAGACATGCTGAAGAAGACTGGATCTCCCTTCAGGATAGTTCTGAATACCGGCCATAGCTTCGATAGGAATATGGGGTAGCTTGCGCCCGAGCATAAGGGCTCAATGCTGTCTCGTAATTCGGTAGCGACATTGGCTCGGACTTTGACATCTATCGAAGCAGTTAGCATAGGAACAGAAGAACGATCTCAGTTAGTGCAGATTTCAGCAACATACCCAGCTTCTCGTCGCCGAGCTTGCTGGCGTAGATATCTATGTTTCGCTCCATCGCTGTGATCCTTTCTCAAGGGTTGCGACTAAATGGAAAGAAACAGCAATTGCGGCCGGGCCAGGAGGCCGGCTAAGGAGAGCGGAGTGTGCGCAGTCTTCCCGGGGGGGGATTGGCCTCTCATATGTTGTGTTGTGGTGTCGCGGGAGCTCTATGGACTCGGTCGATATGCGAAAAGATCGGAGACTGGAGAACTTAAAACGAAGGAAATCATCAAGTCATTGGCTTTTCCAGGTAAACAAACTGCTTAGTCCATTTAAAGAAATTAAGGCCGGACAGCAAATGAGCGAATCGAATTACCCCGCGGGGGAGGAGAGGCTGAGGGAGATGGGGAGAAAGTTGGGGATTGTATGCGGCGCGATATTCACGAGAGCAGAACAGAGGACGCGGGCTATCGCAGAGACCCCGAAAGAAACACTAGTCCGCATTTGGTAATTATGTCGGAGGTGGTTGTTCCGTTCCGAGGCCTAGGCACAGCCCGAACTATGTAACTAAATAGCACTGCCCTGCAAAACTATACAACTTCAACTTTTTGAATTGACTGTCTTCCTAGTTTTATTTCTTTGTGGGCTGTTCAGAAATTCCTTTCCGTTGTTATGTTCCTTTCCCATAGCTGCTCCATTAGAAATGGAATGGGGTATAGGCATTCCTCTACCAGTACCTCGGTACCTAGGTTACTTTTGGGTTGGTAAGCACAGGCTGCAGAAGCAATATTGCGCCTATTAGTTGTACAATCGGTCTTCATATCTTCCAAGAGCCCAAGATAGTATTATGTACCGGTAAATCGTAAATTTAGTATCATGGGTCATGACGAACTTATAGAACAGAGCCTAAGAGATCCAAACGAATATATACCTAGGTATACATATCTACATAGTCATGCTATTAGGGCTCAATCAACATACTCATGCATACTCAGCTCCTTGATTACGAGCAATACAATATCAAACTTTTGATTTAGAGAATCGAGAGATATAGCGCACACATCATCCCAAATAAATATATTTACTTGATTAGTTGTTAGTGAACGACAACCCATATGACTGCGCAATCTTCATCGCCTAGGCTCTATCAATTCCCTGAATGTAAGAACAAAAGAGTCGTCTGTTAGGTAATTACCCAGTGAAGTGTGCAAAAACGCCACCAAAGGGCCCGCAACAACACCCCTGGAGGACGGTACTTGGACCTTCCTTTGTTTAGTGACACCAATATCTCTAATTATAATATATAGTACATAGATCCTTCTCGGTATATCTCATATAGAACCATGGAATGTAGGATTGGAAACTTACTTTTTGCCTGGGAAACAAGCCGGTTATCTTGATCGTGATGGCCCCAGCCCTCGTAATCATTGTATCCACCTTCCACATGGTGTCAGCCCCCGCATTCGGGCAACTATCATTGTTGTCCCCCCTTAGACACGAAATTCTATCAAGATTTCAGGGATTCTGTTCAATATGGCAGACCCTATTTCAATTCTTTCAGTGGTAGACCTCTGCTTCAAGTGAGTTGCAGATCCCAACCGGACCTTTTAAACTGACCACATGTCAGATATGGCACGAGACTGGTTCAATTATGCACCGCAGCTGCACATGCCAAAGATGACGTTAAAGAGAGATCCCTCCGTGTGGAAACATTTTGGATGAGGACGGAGGTCCAGCTGAATGTGGTGCGGGGTATTGCTTCCGAGCTCAGTGAGAAGCATCGGGTGAACCAACATGCGACGATTGCAATGCTCGCCACTAAGTTGGAGATTGCTATCAACAGTGTCGAGTCTACCATCAAGAGTCATCCTGTTGGGAACCAAAAGCTGCAAATACATCGGTGGAAATATGCGTTCACGAAGGAGAAGATTGACCGGGCCATTGAGGATCTCAAAGACTGGCAGGCACTATTTGACCCATCGTGGTTTCTGATCATGAAGCTCGCAAACCACCATCAAGTCGATGTTGGCCTAGAGAAAAGCCGAAAATATGCTGCTATAGATTTCAATGACCCGATACCCCCTGCGCAGGCCCTCAGGACAGCCCTAAATCCAACAGTCACGAACGCTGCATCGGTTTGTCTCCGATCGGAGGCTCTCATTTCCATTAACCCACAAGACATACCATTTTGCTCAGCGCAGGTGGGCCAGAGGCCAGAAAATGGCCAATCGCTTATTCTGGAACGAATTGAACCTCTTCCAGGGGCCAATGTCGGGGACATGAAGAAAGATATACGAGATCTCGCAAGACGGCTGAATGCGTCTGATGCTATCGAATTCGGTCTCCTTAGCTGTAAAGGTTATATACAACACAAGCCCGACTCTTCTCAATCTACGCCAGATGCGTTTACCATCATCTTTCGGATGCCAGAACAACACCTTCCACATCGCTCTCTCCGAGGTTGTTTTCAGGATATGAACCATACCCACTCACTCTCCGATCGCTTCAAACTAGCAAACGAGCTTGCTAAAGCAGTGCACTCTGTTCACTTGTTTGGATTTGTCCACAAGAATATCCGTCCAGAGACAATCTTACTTTTGGGAGGTGATGAATCCTCGATTGGGTCTGCCTTTTTGATTGGATTCGACAGCTTCCGCATGGCCTCAGGTCGAACTTTGCGCAAAGGTGAAGCGTCCTGGGAACGATGTCTTTACCAACATCCCGATCGCATAGGGACCATCTCCCCCAAAGATTATATCATGCAACATGATATCTACAGTCTTGGAGTATGCTTATTGGAGCTAGGATTGTGGGAGTCTTTCGTGTCATACAATGAGTTGAGTTCAAGCAATGACAATGCTCTAAGCCCTACTCGCGCTTCTATTCTTGGGACAGGTCGAGGATTATATTTTCAAAAACATCTCCTTTTCTTAGCGAAGGGTGAACTACGGAAGCGCATGGGGACTAAATACTCCGACGTTGTTGTCACTTGTTTGACATGTTTGGACGCTGAAAATGTTGACTTCGGAGACGAGGGCGATTTCGAAGATGTTGATGGCATTGAAGTAGGTGTGAGGTATATTGAGAAGGTATGTTTCTTCAACCCAAATGTAATGCCATTTAAGATTGATCTCTAACATATCATCGGCAAAGGTAACGATGCGACTAAATAGTATGTACGTCTGAGTCAATAGTTTAAATTCGATAGAACATCCTGGTAAAATAGGGGATATAATACATGTGTTCACGACATGCAACTAGAATAAGAAACGGGTTCAAGTTGGGGGGAAAGATGACGTTGTTCGCAAGTCCTTGTACCACACCAATCATAGGCAATTCATTTCATATATCAGCTTTCCAGAGCCTGACCATTCTATTGCTGATGGAAGAGCATGCCAAAAACGTCCCGTCAGGGGAAAACGCCATGTGTTGATTATCGCTACGAATGTCACGATGGAATTCCCCAATCGTGCGAAAATTTTCGAGTTTGAAAGTCCCGTTTTTGGATTCAACAATATCCCAAAGAACAATTTTCCAGATCGACACGTTTTCCTTGGGGTGCATGCAGGTCGCTAGAACCTTTCCATTCGGAGAAAAGGCCAAATTGCCGATTCTCTCACAATTTAGTTCAATGTTGAACCAATGATTCGGATATTCCTCAGTAGCAACGTGCACCTCACAAGGGCGTAACTCTCTGTGTATGAGACCGAATAATTTTGTCCGCACAGTAGGAGGGGCAACTTCAGGAGTCTTCTTCGTCGTATCCAAAACAAAGATCCTAGAACCATCGGAGGCTGCTAGGTATCTTCCATCTAGGGAAAAGTTTGGCACAACACCTAGTATGGAAGATAGCTGCAACCTCATTGAGGAAGCTGAAGAAATGAAAAACTCCCCAGTAGTAAGGTCTTGGGTCCACATTCGGCCATCATAAGACGGACAGTAAATCAGTCGTGTGCCAACGGAGGCAAAGATTAGAGGTACTGCACGAGAATTTGGATGTGAGAATTTGAACAGCTTTTTCCCCGACTGAATATTCCAAACCCCGACTTTAGAGGCAGAGGAACAAGCCACAAGTGTGTTATCTGGGGAGAATGCAATGTATTGGACATTCTGGCCCACATTGAAAGATTTATGAGAGAAATTTAGCCCTGTAGCGACTTCCCAGATAATCAGCCTGGTCCCACCCGTCGCTAAGTATATGCTATTTGGTGAAAAAGCAGCAACCTGAATGTTTTCGTTCTCGTCTTGAATGTTTTCGCCTTGGTCTCTTGACGTGCGAATTGCCGTTCGGTTTGAAGTATTCCAAAGCGTTGCGTACTTGCCGTCAGGAATGGCAAGCCATTCGCCGCTGGACGAGAAAGCGATTGTACTCTTCATAGAAGAAGTGAGGTTCTTGAGGGCAACTGTTTGCCACAGCCGGAAATCGCCGAAATGAGAGCCAACAATCTTGTTTGGGACTACATGTGATATCGTTAGGACATCTGAATGAAATACCGCTTGAGAGTGATTGGTATCTCTTACCATAATCAACCATCTCTGGTGCTGGATAAGATAGCTTTGTACAATCTGGGATTTTGGCCATCTAGACGTCGCAATGATTATACCCCTAGCGGTGTTGAAGCATCCACAATTTTGAAGCAGAATCAGGGCCAAGCGGGGTACTTTCTGCTCAGCCTCATCAGCTTACATCTTTAAATAGGGCGGAACGCGATAGGCTTACTGGAGCCCGGTGGGGCAGGATTGGAGGGCCTCGGGACGCCCGTGCAATGGATCCACGGGAGCTGACCATGTATATTTAAGGTTAAAATAAACATCAGTATCACTGACTAGGTAGGTAGGTTTGCGATATTAGCCCATTAGTTTAAGAGACTATTGATACTATAATATGTTTCTTCTTAATATGTCAAAGGTGTGGCTTTGGTAGCACTTTCCTTCTTTGGAACGATCGCGTTGGAATGAAAGTCTGTCAAGAAGACAAGGAACACTACACCCAACGATGACAGTGGAGGTTGAGTTTAGATGTGATTGAGGTTTTTATACACCAAAGCTAAATTATAGCTGGAGCTCGATATCTTCCCTAGTGTTAATCTCGTGGGTCACATACAAAATAACTAATCCTGAACCATTTCCACGTATTCCACGTATGCTGGCATAATGCCTCAAAGGAGCCCAAGGACATTTGGACATCCGATGTCTGTATGGACCTCATCATGCACAGTAATTGATAACTATATCTTGAGCTTAGACTTTCAAACATCAACCAACTCATCCCACGCAACTATTTCGGGCGGTCGTAAAACCGGTCATCACTTCTAGGCCTCTATCGGCAGCCTAGTCTTTGCCTCATTCTTGTTAGAGCCAGACCGTGAGCGCTATTCGTTGGAGAGGGTGTCATGGGGCGCGCTAGTTTGAAGTACCAGCGACAAGGTAGTATTTCCTTTCATCACCACAAGCAAATCACTAGGAGTCTTGAGGGAGCATTAATCTTACTTAGCATATCTTGGCCTTAGACTTGTGAGTTCGATTAAAACTAAAAGAGCAAGTTGCATTAGGATTTACTCAAACAAGCAGAGTGAGTCATGTGGCAACAGATGGAACTCTGCGCAGTACGTAGAAGCCCCTTGCATATTGTGACCTGTCTATTCGGTACATTCCAAAGTAGTAGTCCGTGCGTAGCACGAGGCTACTGAAACTTTTCAGCTCACCACATACCAAGCGGGACTTTTACTAATATTGCATGAGACATGTGCTCTGATCCTCCTAGGACGTGGAAACATGAGCTATTGGCATTAGCGTGGAATATAGAGTCCGCCATCTAGTATTTAGGATGACCTTTGGCCCACACTCAACGCCTCCGAAACACTTCCTTTCTGGAACAACACTCATACCACCGTACCACAATGACAGTCGCTTCAACTCCTCAGGCTCTCAATGCCTCTGTGCCAGCGGTCGCACAAGAGGCAGACATGCCGCATCGCACGCTCAGCAAGTCGATGACCTTTGCCAATCTGGATCAACACCAATATTGGCATGCGGTCGGTCCAATGCTGGGGAGAATGCTCTCCAATGGCAACTACAGCATCCATCAGCAATATGAATATCTATGTCTCTTCGCTCATGTCATAATCCCAAAATTGGGACCATTCCCGGGAGGCAGAGACATATACAAATGTCTGCTTGGAGGCACCGGCTCCGTGGAGCTCAGTCAGAATGTTCAGAAATTGGGTCTGACTGCACGGGTTGCGTTCGAGCCTACAAGCTACATTGCCAGCACTGGAGTCGACCCGCTCAACCGACACACGGTACACGCTACGCTAGCTGAGTTAAGGGCTATTGGATCTGCTACCGTCGACATGGAGCTGCATCAAATGCTCGTCAACGAGCTGACTTTGACGGACTGCGAGGAAAAGCTCATGTCCCCAGAAGAAATCTCGGGAACCGCGTGGAAGACGCAAATCCTGCTTGCTTTGGATTTGGGACAGACTGGTATCACGGTCAAGGAGTACTTCTACCCGGCACTTAAGGCTTCCGTGATAGGACAAAGTGTGGCTAAGTTGTGTTTTTCTGCTATTCGGAAAGTGGACAAGCAAGGAGTTTTCGAACCCTCGAGCAAGGTCATTGAGGCCTATATGCAAACCCAGAGCCAAACAGACCTCTACTTTTTGTCCTGTGATCTGGTCGATCCAGCCGAAACTCGGATCAAGCTGTACCTGATGGAGCTAGACATGAGGTTGGAAAAGGTCGAGGAGCATTGGACAATGGGCGGCAAGCTCAACGACGAAGAGACCTTGCTTGGACTGAAAATGCTGCGGGAGCTGTGGGTAGACTTTGGGATTATCGAAGGCATGCGGAAAGAGCCGGAGAGACCATCACTGCCTGGAGATCCTGACACCATTGTTCCATTCATCATGAACTACGAGATGAATCCCGGCGAGGCATTGCCCAAGCCTAAATTCTACTTCCCCTTGGTCGGCATTTCTGAGCTGAAAATTGCCAACGTGCTCGCAGCGTTTTTCGAACGCTACGATATGCCTGAGCAAGCGGCAGTTTATCACGATAATCTGCAGACATACTAGTAAGTCCCTTCTCTAGACAGATATGCGCAATATTTCTTGCTGACCTGACTCGTGTGATACCAGCCCCAGCAAGGACTTAGCTGTCGCAACAGACCATCAGGCATGGCTATCCTTTTCATACGGTAAGAAGAAAGGACCATACCTCACCATGTACTATCACTAGCAGCTTCATACACATAGTTTGGCTTTGATAGTGGTTGATGAGAGACATGAATGGATCGGTGGACAACTTGTTTGTACGTAGCTTAGGATATTTGGATCAGCCACCAGGAAACAATGTATGATGTCCTACGACGGTACGCTTTGCTTTTAGATTCTAATTTTCAAACACGCAAGAACTATGCAAATATCAAAATCTACTCCCTTTCCCCCTTTACGTGTCCAAGGTGATTAATATGGTGAAGGACGGTGTCTCCGAACATTTTAGAGCCATGTTTGGAGCGATAGCATGAAGACATTCAATTCAAAGGATATATTTTAGCAAGCATTAGTCTAAACTTATGCGTTCTATAAAGAGAGATTCAGTCTATATGATCTTTCTATCGAAAATGTCAAAATGTGCATCAAGCTTCCACGCGCTTCTTGCAATCCTCCACCACCTGATACTTGCTGTGCGATGGAATATTCGGTGATCAATGACCTGTGTTATTTTGAAACACTCTCATCGCATTGTGGCCGCGTTTGCTAGTTGCCAAAGTCCAGCCTAGGCCTCCTTTCGTTACGTACCGTCGCATCCGGTCCTGCATGCCTGCCTCCTCCAAGACCCATTTGCTCTCGGGATCACCTGCGAGCAAGATGGCACTGAAACAAGTCCGGAACTCAGCTACTCCAGATAGTTGGGGAGCGACTTAGTGTCTCAGCACATAATCTTATGTCTTACTATGCACGCCATTCGCGCCAACGACGCAGTCAGCTGCGCTCCGCTGCTCGCCATCGATAATCACGCCAGTTTGATCATCGTCCTCCCAATATTCCGTGATAGCCGAGTCAAATGGCAAATCGACGCCCAGAGACCTGGCTTGTTCGTATAATCCATGGAGCAATGTTCCACGGTGGATATTCACACCCTCTCCCAATTCATACCCATCCATGGAATCAGGCGTACAGTCTTCCCGCAAGGTCTAGAGTCTCCATAGCAGCCACGTCGTCGGACTCATAGACCAGCTGACGCAGAACTTTGCTGTTGTTCTAACCTTGTACCACCTTTGTCGCATTACTTCCCAAGGCAATGCTATGTCCTGCTCCAGCCAATAAACAACCCTGACCATTCAAGCTGACATCACAGAGCTTTGCCAGTACTGTAACCCGTGGACTTCTCTCAAGGCTAACTACCACGTGTCCTTTGTAATAGCACTCAATGGCCGCGACCGGACCAGCAATCCCGAGCCCGATGATAATTACTTGGACTTTACTGGACCCGGGTACCGCAACTCCTTTGGGGCCAACGCCGTGTGTGACAGTCATCGTAGCGCGCCTAGTTGTAGTGCTAGCTTTGTGGCTCACAATAATTTGTACAACAAGCCCGAGACAATCTCTCTTTATGGCCACTTGGCCGTCGATCCTCAATACAAAGGCTGGTACTATACTACATACCACCTGCCATTTTGAGCGAGATGGAGAGCTCACCCTAATTCGCTCTACCTGTGTTTGTCATGAATATATGTAACTTGCTTCATGCATCAACTATCATGTTCCGATCACACCATACATACAGTGTGTCGATGTGCTGTTCGTTGCAGGTGTTATTGAAACTAACCACTGGCACCCTACCACACCACTGAAGAAGGTAGTATGTATTATCAATCTCTACAAACTGTCACCTATAATCTACAAGTGAGTCCCAAGCAAGGGGGCCTGAAACATGCTGCAATACCCCGGGAATAGCTTTCAGCTGGGTTTCAATTAAACTTACTTAGGGGAAAGTCTAAAGCCAAGAATGGCTCGGAACTACTTGCCGTTGATTACAAGGCGCATGTATGATGCATGGTTGCATACAATTTACAATATAATGTGAGCTAGCAATGCAAGAACATGTTATAATTTCCATGCAGCCAAACGTGTGGGGCCGGAGATGGATCGGGCGCGCGACGGGTGATACGGCGTATACGGATAGGGCGTGATGCAGGGGATTTGCCACGACGATCCTAGGTACTCCGTATATGCACTGGAAAAATCCATCCGCATGATCAGACGCTACGTCGTGTCTGATGTCTGTCTTCCTTGACAGGTGCATTTCAATCAGCCTCAAGGACGTGGAGAAAATATCCGTGAATGTGGATCCGCGAAAAACTCTGCTTGGTTTCTTATCCGTTGATTGGCCGACAGTTAGTTTAGATCAAATCATTCTCCACTGATGGTTGCAGGGATCATGCAGACTTAAAGCGTAGAAGGGACCTCGGGAATAATAGCACATGAACTATCGATTACCTATCTCGGATTGTCTTTGACGATCTTGAACTGTCATTTGATTTCCCATTTCACTATACGGAGTACTCCGTAGGTACCTTCCAATTATTATACCCGGCTTTTTGTGTATAGGATCGCCGGTGCATGAACGAGACCGAGATTCGGCCGCCTGTAGGCTCCGTCGAAGTCTCATGGTTCAAGCATCACCTAGTTGGTCAAAGCCAGTGACATGTCGAATATTGAGACATACAAACCTGGCAAGGCACTGGTTTTTAATTCTGTCCATTGAACTAGTATCTACATTTGAATCCCATTGCCTCGAAGCGTACATGATCAGTGAAAGTCAGTGACAATATTCCCAGTTGGGACGCAAAAGTATGGGAAATATTAATTCAAACGATCAATCCATGTATTTTGAATAGCCAAACTAATCCAAGCCTCCTCAAATGAAAAGAATAAAATGTACTATAGCGCTTCCAAGATAATCTCCTGCTCAGCAACCTTAAACCACGCCTCGCCTCGTTTCTGGGCATCCTCCTCATTCACAGCAGACTTTCCAGAGGATTTCAACTCATAATTCTCAACCGTGTACGCAACTAACACCTTGAGGATGGTGTCTGCTAATGCCTGTGCAATACACTGGCGGGGCCCAAAGCCAAAACGCCAGAAGCGATACCGAAAACTGGCCCTGGATTCCTCCAGGAACCGCTGGGGACGGAAGGTCATTTTATCAGAGCCCCATGCATCATCCCATATATTCAACGCATTAGTGTCAACCACCATAAAGGTGCCAGCGGGAATGCGGTATCCACCCACGTCACGGTCAGTGGGCATTGATTGCGCGTAGGTGTAGTTGGTGACTGGCTTCAACCTTGCGGATTCGTTGATGCAGCTCGCCAGCAGAGTTGAATTACTGGCAATGTATTTGACCCATGACTCTGGAGTTTCGTCAGATCGGGTTTGTGTGATTTCGTTTCTTAGCTCGGACTGTAAACCGGCATTCTCGGCAAGAAACTGTGGGATCCAGGAGAAGCTGCCAATTGTCACATCAATATTGGCAAACAGCGCTTCGTCCAATGTGTGCATCAGCTCAGTTGGTGTAATCTGACCTTGCTCGACTGCTCTATACAGGGTAACAATAGCACAAGCAGAGGAATCGTCACGGTTCTTTGCATATTGATACGCTTTCCGATTGAAATTAGCCCAGCGAGTGTGGAAGACGTGTAGCTTGTTCCTTATGGCCGGGTAAAATATCTTGCTGATGGAGAAGAGTGACAACCCGCCCTTAAAGGCATATTGAAACACATCGGTGCGCAGATCAGTGATGAGCAAGAGTTCCTCTGTCATCTCCGGGGACAAGTTTCCATATAAGAGGTCACTAATGACCCAGAAGGGCAGAAGCTTGAGGTCCTCGGCGGGCTTGATTCGCAGTGTCTTGCCGCCTTCATACTCTTTGTATAACTCAGAAAAATGGCGAGAAATACGGGACTGAACAAAGGGAACATATGTAGTGGGCTTCTGGGTAAATGGGGGCGAAACCACAGCATGGACCTTTTTCCAATGTGCTTGACTAATAAGTCCGACACCATCGCCGACTAGATCGCCCATCACCCATCCACCATTCAGGTTTGAAGCCTTGTAGTGGTTGCCAGAGTCTTTAAAGACCGTCTTGATCTCATCCGCTCGGGTCAGAATGCTGTACTTTCGTTTAGCCCGGGCAGTTCATCTTAGGAGTGGGAACTTACATTTCTGGAGTGAGACCAACCCAGATGCGATACACTGAGCCATATTGCTCTGCCCACTGACGAGAGACATTCTCTCCCTCCAGGAACTTGAGGCTCCCCCCGCCATCTGGAAATCGGTAGGGGTAAGTGGGTATTGGGGTTGAGCCATCTGTCGAATAAATTGGGTACCACCACAGCAAAAGTCTCTACAATGATACAAAGATGACCGTCAGCAGTGTTCTATTGATGTATCTCGGGGTATTACCCACATTTATTATGTAGGAAACTACTCGATTGGACCAAGTGTTTGGTTGAAAGGCGCGCCACAAGGTGACTAGAAGTGATACAACTGCCAGCTGCAGTGCAAGAAAAACGTAACTAGACATCACGTGAAGCTGACGTTGGAAAGAAACAGAAGTAACAAATGGAGGATTTGATCTCGGAAATGACGAATTCGAATTCAATTTGTAATGAATAGCATGGCTACAATTGCCCAAATGGGTACGTCCAGTGATAGAAACGATCATATTCCGGACCCCACAAGTGCGGCTGACGTTCTAAGGCGACATCACCGAGGGGCCCGAATCTTACATGTACAAAGTGCATGTGGGTCCAATGTCAATCAGCAAGGATCGGCATGCATGGTCGCATCGCGCTGATCTAGACAAGTGCATGGTGTTGATATATGCAAGGACTAGTGGGGATGGTTGTGGGTGTAGCCACGCACTATGGATTATTGGTCGCCAGGCTGGGCTTGGCAACTATAACAACATTCTTGTTGCTGACAACCCATTCTTCGTCATTTTTAAAGGTATATCGGAGGAAATCATTTGGACAGAAGTACGGATATTCTATGTATTCATTACCCTGAAAGAACCCTCATGTCTCGGGAGGAACATTAACTTTTTGAGTACTTGTCCATCGGCGCCATGGATTCTTATCATCGTCGTCATACTATTTCCCTTCCTTTGGATAAGGAATTAGAAGCAGAGTGGACTGACAATGGGGAAGCGTTGCTCCAGCCTCGTCCTCTCAAGGCATCTTGGGCTTTGTTGCTTGCCAGGCTATCAGAAACACAAACGACAACATTTGCAGTGCTAGAAGAACTGGTAGCTTCTCCAAGGGATGCGTGTTCGAGATTAGTGGCTTCACCGCCCCATTTAGAGACCTGGGAGATATCAGACAATCCGGATAGTCTCTTGGTGGATGCAGCGAAGGAAACGCAAAGAGAGCCCCTTTCAGGCACACATGCCTCGACGGCTGTGGTCATCAAATGGCATGATGAACCAAACGGTCCGATGTCTGTAAGTAAGAGTCAATAATGTGTTCTTCACACGACATACTAATAAAGTCACAGTTGCCCTGTGAATTCAATACGATCATTGTTTTGGACTGCAGTATATCACCCGTTCAAGTATCCATGGAATACTCAAGGACATCTCTCACAGTGAACCAAGCCTGGTCACAATTAACGGCTATGGTTCACATTCTGGGGCAAATTGTTATGAGGCCAGGGCTATCCCTCCGAGGGGTAGATTTCCTGGGCTGGTATAGCTCCAGATTGATCCGGCAATGGAACAACCCGTATTCCCTCGCACGACCACAGGTGTGCATTCATACCTTGGTCCTAGAGCATTGTCAGAGCCAACCAAATGCCGAGGCCCTGTGTGCCTGGGATGGTTCCATCACATATGCAGAGCTTGATCAATTTTCACTCGCAGTCGCACTCAAGCTGCTGTCACTAGGTGTTCACCCAGAGTCAGTGGTGCCGCTCTACTTCGAAAAGTCACGCTGGACGGTGGTCGCCATGCTGGGAGTGCTGAGAGCGGGAGGTGCATTCGTGCTTCTCGATCCCTCGCACCCTATGGCTCGTCTGGCAGAGATTTGCTCGGAGGTGCAAGCAACAGTTGCCATCGCCTCAGAGTCATTGCAGGAACTAGGTCGGCATCTGGGTCCTGGAGTTATCACGGTCCTCGACGCAACCAAGAGCCAAGTTGATACAGGCAAAAGCGCCTTTAGCATATCTGTCAAGCCTTCAAACGCCGCATACGTCGCCTTTACTTCAGGGTCCACTGGAAAGCCCAAAGGGATCGTGATTGAACATCAGTGCTTCGTTGCAAATACATTGGCCCAGAGCGCAGTTCAGAATATCGATAGCCAGACACGGGCGTTTCAGTTTGCCTCCTATGGGTTTGATAGCAGCATTCTTGAGACACTCATGACTTTGGTGGCGGGTGGTTGCGTCTGTATACCCTCAGAGAAACAGAGGCTGAACGGCCTGGCAGATGCCATCCGTGGGCTACGAGCCAACTGGCTCGAGTTGACGCCATCTGTCGCACGGTTCATCAATCCTGAAGAGGTACCGGACGTGCGGTCTATCTTGCTTGTCGGTGAGCCCATGTCTCAAGACCACATCACACAATGGTCGGAGTCGGGGCAGATCCAACTCCTCAACGCATATGGCCCCGCCGAGTGCAGTGTGGTGTCCACTGTGCAGCCCCATGTGCAACTGGAAGATCCCCAAAATATCGGCCGTTCATATAGCAGTCACTGTTGGGTCGCGAACCCTCAAGATCATGATCAGCTTGAGCCCCTGGGTGCGGTGGGGGAGTTACTCATCAGCGGACCAATCGTGGCCCGAGGCTATCTCAACCAACCCCACCAGAAGTCTTTCATCTCTAACCCTCGTTGGGCGAAGCGATTCGGAATTCCTTCAGGTGAACGCGTTTACAAAACTGGAGATCTTGTGCGATATAACCTCGACGATGGCACGCTGCGATATGTTGGGCGTAAAGACCGGGAGGTGAAAATCCACGGCCAACGCGTCGACCTACAGGAAATCGAACATCATGCCTCCCAGTTTCAGAACGGAATACTTGCGGTGGCCGATGTAATTCAAGTAAATGGTAACAGCGCAGGGAAGCTCCTTGCATTGTTTATTGCTGCAGATAATGGTGGGACGCGCATGACGATGGAAAGCTTCGTTGTGCCCATGAATGACACCCTCCTCAATTTGGTGGCCGACATCAAACACTGGCTCAGTGACTGTCTACCGCCGTATATGATCCCAACCAAATATATATTCGTCAATCGCTTACCCCTCACAAGAACCGGCAAACTCGATCGACGGGCTTTGGTCGATCTTGGAGCAGCATCCAGTCACTCGCCGAGCGGACGATACCCATCACATCAGCGTGATAAAGAACCTGTCGAGCTAGACCCGGAGCTTTTCATCAAGGAAAGTATCTTGTGCTCGGTTTTCGCCGAGGTGTTGGGGTGCCTGGAAACAGACATCAATGAACAAGACGGTTTCTACGACATGGGAGGGAATTCATTAGCTGCCATAGAGCTGGTAGCCTGTTCACGCAAGCGTGGTCTGGAAATCACGGTGGCGGATGTCATCCGTCTTCAGAATCCGCGAGCGATTGCGCGATGTACTGTCGGAAGCAAAGAGGTTCGCGAGATCTCGCCATTCTCTCTTCTCGCGGATACCGACCAGAGTCTGTCCGCCGCGACCGCTCAGTGCGGCATTGACAGCGGGATGATTGAAGACGTTTACCCTTGTACCCCTCTACAAGAAGGCCTCATGCATCTTTCTATCAAGAATCCGGGAGCTTTCATGGGCACATACCAGTTCTCCTTGGCTCCTTCTACGAACCTTCATCGGATCTGGGCTGCCTGGGAACAGCTTTGGCTCGTACATCCCATCCTCCGAACACGCATCATCCAACTTCAGGATGGCCAAAAGCTTCAAGTAGTCACCAAACACAATACCTCATGCAAAGATATTTCAGCCATGTATGATGGCCAGCCCATGAACTTGGGGACTCCCCTTGCGCGTGTGACATTCCATCCTGCACAAACTTCCAGCGGATTGGACTCTGGCACATTCCTGCTGACCATGCACCACGCTCTTTTTGATGGATGGTCATATCTGCAGCTGCTCGAGGATCTTCAGGTGATTTACAGCGGTGAGAGACTGCCACCACGCCCTGCCTTCAATCATGTCATTGACTACATCTCCAAGTTGAGCATTGAGGAAGGTCACTCTTTTTGGAGTCAAGAGTTCAATGATTTCCAAGCAACAATGTTCCCTGTCTCTCCCCGGCGGCCATCTGTCGAACCGCATTGGCAAGTCAGAAGCCAGCAAATTGCCCTGACTAAGTCAGATACGAACTGGACTCTCGCCAATAAGATCAAATTAGCATGGGCTCTTGTGATCTCTTCCCAGACTCATTCAAATGATGTGGTATACGGCTTGACAGTCTCGGGCCGAAATGCCCCAGTTCCAGAGATCAATCGTATTGCCGGGCCAACTTTCGCAACATTCCCCTTCCGCACGCAGTTTGATGACGATGTATCGGTGGAAAATATGCTGATCCAAATGCGACAGCACGACGTCTCCATCATGCCATTTGAACATATTGGTCTCGAGCGTATCGCGGAGTCAAGCTCAGACGCGGCCCTAGCTTGTGGATTCCAGAATCTTCTCACCATTAGATTACAATCTCTTCAGATTACTCCGGGCGCCTTGGTTAGCTTACCGGAGAACGAAGACCATGACCTGAAATTTGCGTCGTATCCCCTGTCAATCGTGGTCCAACAGGAAGGAGAATCCCTGGAGATCAAGGCCGTCTTTAATAGTTACATTCTGGGCCCTGGCAGGGCTGAGGCCCTCTTAGAGCAGTTTGACACCTTGTTGCAACGAATTCTCCGGGAGGCCGGGGCAACAATGAAAGACCTGAGAAGTCAGCTTTCTCCCGAGTGGCAGCAATTAGCGGCGATTAACAGAAAGAGTTGTCCCCGCCTACATTGCCTACACGATATCATCCAGGGCTTCGGCGTTACCCAGCCAAATTCAGAGGCCGTCTGCGCATGGGATGGCTCGCTCACATATGAAGAACTTATCGCTTTAGCTCGGAGATTAGCAGGCCATCTCCAGTCTTTCGGGTCCGGGTCGGAACCCGGTGCAGTGATTGGGATTTGCGTGGAAAGATCAAAATGGTTCCCCGTTGCCATATTGGGCGTCATGATGTCTGGAGCTGCCATGGTTTTGTTAGAACCCAGCTTCCCCACACAGCGTTTGCAGCATATCTTGCGAGACGCTGGGGCACGAACGATGATATGCTCTTCGGTATTCCAAGAGAATTGCACGGGTTTGGTCGATGATATATTAGTTCTGACTCCCGATATCTTGACCCAAGCGGACTATGATGCTTGGACTTCGTCAAAGGTATCTCATCAAGATCCAATGTATGTTGCTTTTACATCCGGATCGACAGGTACCCCGAAGGGTGTTGTGATCGAGCATGGCATGGTATGTTCGATGCTCGAGGCACATAAGGACCTCATCGGCGCATCAATTGCCTCCAGGGGCTTGCTTTTTGCCTCGCCCGCGTTTGATATTTGCCTTGCTGAGATTGTACTTCTCCTCGGCGCGGGGGGCTGCGTCTGTGTGCCTTCCGAAACTCAACGCATGAACAGCTTGGCGAAAACGATGACAAGCATGCGAGTCAACATAGCCATGCTGACCCCTTCAGTGGCGCGAACTCTATCACCAGCCGCGGTCCCTTATCTCCAAACCCTAATCCTTGGAGGGGAGCCACCTTCAGCCTCTGATCTGGCGACCTGGGCTTCACGCGTCCGGCTGCATCAATCATATGGGCCAGCTGAGTGCGCTATGTATACGACCACCACAGCTCCATTGACTCTCACCTCCGATTTGGGCAACGTCGGGTCTTCTCCAAACGCATCTTGCTGGATTGTTGACCCAGACAACCATGATGAGCTTCAGCCTGTGGGCTCGGAAGGAGAACTTTTGATCGGCGGGCCGATTGTTGGAAGAGGGTATATCAACCGAGCCCAGGAGTCTGCAGCGGCCTTCATTCGTGATCCTATCTGGAGCGCGAATTTCCCCTTCTTGCGAGGAGGCCGACTTTACAAGACTGGAGATCTCGCTGTCTTGAATGCAGACGGGTCTTTGACTTTGGTCGGCCGAAAGGATACACAGGTGAAGCTCAATGGGCAGCGGATTGAGCTGCACGAGATTGAGCATTGTGCCGAGAGATACCAACATGGTACCGCGGTCATTGCGGAATTGATAAAGCCTGCCGGTATCCAGAGACCCAGACTTACCATGTTCGTCTATGATCCTGCCACGGTTGAAACAACTGTCGGCATCAACTCTGATTACCATGACCACCGAGAAGTGTTCTCGCCGTCCAGACAAAATCAAGCTTACCTTGAAGGTGTAAAACATCATCTCAACCAACACCTTCCACCGTATATGATACCGTCCTTTTTCCTTTCGCTATCTCGTCTGCCACTTAGCCCAAGTGGTAAGGCCGACCGCAAGACACTACGCCAGATTGCATCAAAGATGGAAAAAGAGACATTGGAGATGTATCTAGACATTCCGGTGGCAGAGAAAAGGGAGCCAGTCACAGAGCAAGAGCGATTCGTCCGTGCAAGCTTTGCCACAGCCCTGTCATTAAATGAGGAGGCCATTGGAATGGATGATAACTTCTTCGCTCTGGGCGGCGATTCCATCACTGCTATGCGGGTTCTCACCTTGTGTCGGAGAAGCAACATGGCCATCTCGATGCAGGATTTCCTCTCAAAGAACACTGTATCCTTGTTTTGCACACATGTCATTGTGGTTCAGGGCCAGACCGTTGATTCCAAACGCCAGAAACTCCCGAGTTCACAAGACTTGATTCGAGGGGGAGATCATGTCGTCCAGTCGGAGGACCTCGATTACCAACTGGATATGGTTCGAGCTCAGTTAAATTTGTTAAAATCGGATTCTATCGAGGATATCTACCCCTGCTCTGATGCCCACAGCGGTGTGTTGGAGCTCTATACGTCCAACTACACAAGCACTGCAATTTTCGAGATTACTCCCACGGGATCAGTGACCACGATGCAGGTGAGCAAAGCTTGGAGTCAACTAGTCCACCGTCATGTCGCCCTGCGAACGGTTCTCATGAAAGACCCGAAGGTTCACGCAGATTATCTCCATGTGGTCCTGGACAAGGGACCAGCTCAAATTCTTGTTCTTCCTCCCAGCAAGAATGCGCTTTTAGAATTGAAAAGTCTCGAACCAGTCCAATCATGGGGCCTGTCAGCACCACACCGGTTAATCATCAGTCAGGACCATTCTGGGGTGGTCTTCATGAGGCTGGAAATGGGATGTGCCTTGGTTGACGCGTTTTCCATGACCGTTCTACTAGAAGAGCTTTCTCTCGTCCTACTGGGTCACCCCTTGCCTGAGAAAGGCGTCTCGTATCGTCAATATCTGACCCATCTGCGCAGCCAGTCATCTGCAGAAACTCTGCAATACTGGACACAGGCGCTTTATGGAGTTTACCCTTCCCACTTGCCCAGACTCCCTGCCACGCAGTCTCCCCTACCTGAACCTCGCTCGAAGAGCCGCTGCCTGCCATCCGCGCAATCAAAGTGTCTAGACTCCTTCTGGCGCTCCAATCATCTCACCATCACCAACGTTTTCCAACTGGCATGGGCTTTAACACTCACGCACTACACCAATTCCCACGACGTGTGCTTCGGAACCATCACCTCGGGGCGTGATACCCCCCACCTTGAAGTGTGGAATATTGTTGGATCATTTTTCAACGTTCTTCCGTGTCGAATTGCGATTGATCCCACACGCACGGTGCTAGACACTCTCCGACAGAACCAGGAGGATATTCAGCGTCGAAATGACCATCAGTACTGCTCCGTGCCAGAAATAATCCGCAAATCTGGAATAAGGGGCTTAGACGATGACCAGCAGCTGTTTAACACGGTTCTCACAGTGCAGAACCCTTTCTTGACACAATCATCTCCTGCGAAAGATGGCAGCAATGAGATCGATATCAAACTCATCGATTTGGAGGATGCAACTGAGGTGAGTGTCTTTGGAACTAGAATCACGATCAAGCTAACTAATGATAATTCTTGCAGTATGACCTTTGCGTCGCTATTCTTCCCTCACCTTCCCACTTCAAGGTGGAACTACGCTACTGGTCGACCACTGTATCTGAGGAATATGCTTCGGATATTCTGGATCGCCTTTTCAACCAGCTGGAACAGATTGTCCAACATGAAACCAAGCCATTGAGTTTCATCACCAGCATTGGATGAGACACTCATATCTCACGATTACGACCCTTTCACGACCGCACCTTTGATGAAATTACACGCGTCGAGGTCATTTATATCGTTCTCTTTGTATCTAATTTTTGACACTATTCTTTGGATATTCTTACGTTTTGTACTTTCTGATACTTCCGGGTCCCGATTTAAGTTGTTACAAAAAATAGTCGGCCGCATTTGCGGCCTTCTGATGTCTTTTTAGCTAGTCTTTTTAAATGTTTTTCAAATATCATTTCATATGTATGTGAAGGCGGTAACAAAGAATCCTTTGTGCAAGAGAATATTCTATGTAGCACCTTTGGTTTAACAAAATCTACAATGATATAGAGCATGAAATACTAGATCGCCGTCCAAGCAATTCTACAAGCACTCCAAGCATCAGATTCCAAGGCAATATCATATCCTAGAATTGGTCTAAAATAATAGAAGAGAAACAACAAGAAAACAACACATAGACAGCCACCGACATTGTGGTCAATGGATGAAACGCCATTCGCACCCGTTTTCCATACCTGAACACGGTTCTAAGACTGGTTCCAACTCAAATTTTGAGGGAGCCCGTCGCGGAAGGGAAAATATCGAAGAAAAAAAAATCCATGTACACAAAAGGAAAGGGAAGAAAATGGGAAGACAAATAAAAAGGCAGGGGGGGGGGCACAGGTTGAAGGCATCGCCGAAAATCAAAAGACAAAAATATCGTTGCCCCATAGCTCGCTATGCCATCGCAGGAGAAAATAAACGGGAAATCACATGTCCATCAGCAGTCCATCTCCTCCGAGACATTATTTGGTAGAATTGCTTCGATGCATTATCTGTACATTGGTTGCACTAGTACCACTGCCGACCGATCGTCGTCGCGGGCGAACCTCACTGCCGCTTCCGCTCCGTCGCCGCCGACCAGTGTTGCGAATCGAGCCTCGGCGTCGTGTCTGGAGCAAACGGACGTTTTCACGTTAGAATCACGCTGGCTGTACATGGGCGGACGTGGTCTCTTAGCAAAAGACAAGAACGAGGGCGATAGGGCCAAACAGAAACAGAAGTAGTCCGCATAGGAATGCACGTATCTGGGCAGCAAAGTAGCGCGGATCAGAGATGCACTGGGCTTACCGAATTAGGAGTGCCTTCCCGGCTGGGTCGTTCCTTGGAAATATCGGGATCCTCTTGCAACTTCAACGAGTTCAACCGCTTTTGGCTCTCGTGGGTCATGGCCTCTACCTCATCGATCGGCTCGGGGACGTCAAGAACCGGGGGTGGTGGTGCGGGAATGCCATTCTTCCGATCTTTGGCCTGTTGTTCAATCACGTCCCACCGGTCTGTACGAGACTTTTCGCGTTGGTCTGCATTGTTCTGGTGTTCCGTGTAATCGTGAGAGCATTCATCGAAGAGTTGCGGGTTGATCTCCATGAACATCTTCATGGCATTGTACACCATGCTGTGGATTGTTCTGGATGAAGGGTTAGCTCATATCGAAGTCAGTAGCATACGCAGTTCAAACTCACCGGTTCCAATGTCCTTTCGAGTTCTCGTAAAGCGGCGCAAACATAAGCGGGAGGATTGTCTCCACATTGTCGCTCACAAGATTACAGAAATACTCGTTGTTCCAGAAGTACAACGCACGTTCGGCGACCTGGAAATGGGGGCTGGCAACAGACTTGGCGAGCTGATTGAACAGAGGCTCCTGGACTTTGGCGAACTCGCCTGGATCCATCACCTCAAAGATGTCTTCCACCTCATTCAGGTACATAACCTCCTTGGTGCTGTTGGTCTTGGGCCAGAAGCGCAGTAAGCCGAGGACAACCTAGATACAGTGGTTAGTACTGAAGGTATATTGGAGAAAGATGAATGGGGGCTTACATCTTCAGTCAATGAGGAGTCCTTCTCCAAAAATTGGACGATGCAGTAGGCCAATTGCGGGTGGTACATGCTGAGACTCTTCACCTTGTGCATGGGCAGGAGCACTCTAGTCAAGAAGAGCTTGTGTTCCTCCTTCAGCGGCAAAGCGAACCCGTTGATAATGGAGCCCAGAATCTCGAGTAATTCGGCAATTCCGTTGTGGCGTTCTGTCTCGTACATGAACTGGAAGAAGACGTTGTTGATGGAGCGGCGGATATATGAGCGCAAGTTCAAGAACTTTCCATAGATGCGGTGCAGAGTCGTCTTGAGGAAGTCACGTTCCCGAGGATCTTCTGAGTCAAAGAGGTTCAACAACTAGATAGAGCATTAGCTTGCGTTAAACATCAAAACCAAGCACCAGAAGACATACCGAAAGCACAAACTGATGGTCGATATAACCCTTCGCGATGTTCGTGTTGAAATCCTGGCTTTCGATAAATCTCAAGAAGAATTCATATACGACCTGAATATGAGGCCAAGCGACTTCCAAGACGGGCTCATCCTCCTCCGGGTCAAATGCTTCGCCCTGGGGCGTCATAGGCGGAGGAATAGGACGGAACAGGTTCTTGGCGAACATCTCCACCACGCGAGGGTACATGGGCTCTGTAATCACGGACCGATTGTTGGCAACATAATCTAAGAGTTCGTGCAGCGCCAGCCTCTTGATCTCCTTGGATTTCATGTCGGCCGTCGGGTCGTTGAAATCGAAGATGATATTGCACTGGTCGATCTTTTGCATGAACAGATCTTGGCGGCGGTTGGGAGGCACTTCATGGAATCCCGGCAACTTCTCCAGTTCTCTCTGACGCTGATCGGAGATGTCGAATCGCGATGAATGTTGGCGTTTAGGGGTCCGGATACCTTCCGACATGTCCTTAGGAGTTGTCTGTAGGCGGTCGAAGACATGAGACTTCCTAGGAGGTGCGAGATCTCCGGGCATCGTTTCGGCGGCACCAGGAGGGGGAACATGCTATGAAATCCAATCGTTAGCAAGTGCAAACAGTCACCATAGTATGAAACAACTGGACTTACCGGTGCGCTTGGGCTAATGACGACGCTGGGAGCCGCTGGCTGGCCTTGCCTATTCGGAGTCGCTGGTCCATTGCTTACAGGCTGTCCTGCAGCGCCCGGTTGGGGTATATAGTGTTGAACCGGGGTGCCAGGGTGAGGTGCGCCCGCAGAAGGGGTTCCGGCGGGGGAAGCGTTGTCCGGCGATTTGTTTCGCGAGTCATTGAGAGAGGTTGTGGAGGATGTGGGTGTCCCTTGGTTAGGGGAAGTAGACTGTTGCGTATTGGAAATGCCGAGGGACTGATTCTGTGAGGTGGAGTTGGAGTCTTTCTTTTTCGAGGACTTGTTGTCTTTCGCCCGCGACAACTGGTCGTGCTAAAAGCAAGGCACAAAATGTTAGATTATTTGCGAAATGAGTAAGATAGCACCACCTTCATAGCGAAGAAGGGGGTGGATGGGCAGAGGTGATAGTGCGGTGAGGTGCACTTGGACAGGATACGCGGGTAACTCACCACTCTCTGTCTGAAACCCTTCATTTTGACGACTGTGTAGATGGCCACATGTACTCGGCTAGGTTTCTTGGTGCGAGTGCAGCCAGGCGCCGTACTCTAGCCGGAGTGAATCGAGGGGAGCCAACGGAGATAGCCGCTCAGGAAAGCCACGAGGGGGGGGGGGGGAGTGTTTAGGTCGACCTAATAGGAGAAACTTATAAGCGGTCCGAGTCACACAGCATGTAAGACGGTTATTGTGAAGGGAAACGGTTCTGAAATGCCGATATCAAGTGCTATCAATGCGTAGAGGAGAAGCTGAGGTTCAATGGCAATAGTATCAGGCGCTCCAAACAATGTGCAGTCGCAGCACGCGCACGGAGCAAGACGATGATGCTGGGAAGAAAGGGCCAATACAGGCAATGGGAGACGAGTGTTCGATCAAACGTACCTCCGTAGTTTTGGTTTGGACAATTGACAAATCGAGGGGGAAACTGCTTAGGAAGAGTAGGTGTTATAGGGCGAGCTTAGTCGGCGCTGGAGGGTCTCCGTGTCGCTTAGTGGCAGGCTGGGAGCGGGGGGTTTGGAAGTACCAGAGGGACGGGCACTCAGGTCGCAGCCCACTGCGAAAGCACAAAAAGCAAGATGTAACTAGCAAGAGACAAAGTCGCCGACGTACAAAAGACCAAATAAAGAGGATGGCGTTGAGTTGTGGAGAGGAGGGAGGGAAGTGGATTGTTGTTGAGGTGTAGGGAAAGGCGGGCTGGTTCTCCTGGCTGCGATGGTGATGGGAGGGGGGAACCACGCCCAAATATTATGTGGGGGACTATAACGTTTTTTATATGACCTAGATCTCTTTATGCTCTAGTTTGAGATAATGCGTTTACTCGACAGCTATATTATTCTCCTCCCCTCTTCTCACAACACAACTTTCGTATGCTTTTTCCCGCTTGTTTCAAAATATGCTTATGTCATGATACACGTGACCATCAGGGGGACTCGATTTTCAGGCACAGACACAACGACGTCACTACACCTGAGACACTCAGGTATCGAAGGGGTATGGCTCATTCTAAACAGGTGGTGATGTAGCTAATCATATATCTCTTTGAGTCAAGCAAAGCAGGTTCTGGAAATGAAGGTACATAGAACAAGGTCTGTGCTCTTTGACCCACACCTGACCACAACATGCCAGAGCATAGACTTGAACTGTGCGAGGCATCAAAGTTGGACTGAACAGGAAATTCTTACTTGAAAGCTCTCAATACTTAGATTAACCAATAATATGACATATACTATTCTAGGTATAACACTACTGAGACTATGCCGATGTTGTAGTGTAAATTTGGTTGGAGATGTGGAAATATATATCCTTCGAATGACTCGAATTTCTACTGTGATGTAGCACGTTTATAATAAATGATACTGTACTCATCTTCAAGTTTCTTTCTATTTTCGACTCTATTATAGCTTCTACTCAATTTAATCTAAAATTTCTATTACATCGTAGTTCAAGGGGTAATTTCTTCCCCAGATTAGAGCACATGGTTTCATTGTATCGTCACTAGGGTATGAACAGCTGAGCTATATTGTGAGTAAAAATACATCAATTGCATAGTGATTATGGTTCTCTTCTCCACACAACCAAAACCAAGGCAGATACACAGAGTTCCAAAGAAATTACTCTGGTACAACAAGCCTAGTCAGCAATCCTCACTCACAATCCTCGCCATGTTTCCCAATACCTCAAGTTTCCTTATCAACTGATTCTTACTTGAATGCTGACTGTTACTTGACCACTAGCTCTTACGTTCTTCCTTCGTGCTCATCACTCTTTGAAATTTACTTCCAACCGTCCTAACTTTCACCATGGCGGATTTCATCATGCCCCGGACTGCTTGTGAGGATCTAGGCACGCTATCTTCGGACAAAAAGAAGCCCCCATGCGGGTTGAGGGACGAACCCGCTATTTACTTGACCACATTGTGGTGTCTGCAGTGTTTTCGCTACAGAGTCCGCAATTGGGATCGTGGTCAGCCCTTTGACGTGGTGTGCACAATCAGCACTGTTTCGCCGCAAATGTGTACTTCTTGCAAAGACGCCAAAGACCAATGTGATTGGGTAAATTTTGATTGTTTCTGAACCTCTTTTGTCAAGATACGCTTACATCGATTGCCACCTTTCCCAGATCCCGCAGGGTATTCGGGGCCACGTTTTTGAACTTATGGCCTTGATCCAATTCCTGGAAGAATACTGGGGAGACAACTATGACGTATACGAGGGACTTCGCACTGTAGTCTGTGACCTCTGTGCTGCCTTTGATCACCTGGTCGAGACACATCGCAAAGCTCATATGCTGACAGGCAATGTCTCTGAGGTGCGTTTCTTTAATGCGCCCTACATCTCTACATCTGTGAGTCCTTGCTAACCCGTGGACAGAAAGCCAAAGCTGGCTATTCTGCGTGGTGTAATGCCAGAGAGCATACGATCCGTCCCAGTACCCAGTACACCAAGGCGCCGCATCACAAGTATGCTGTCCGAGCTACAGAGCATCTCCGCCTTCGCATGGGCGAAGAAGCATCTATCAGCTGGGCCGCCGCAATTTGTGCATTCAAAACGTCTGTCAAGGAAATTATTAGAGAATTTACTCGTGACCTGGAACCTATGCTCACTTCCGCATACATCAATTGCGCCATGGAACAGTTTCCTCTGGAAATCCCCGAGCTTTGAATCAGTCCAGTTGCTTTGCCTAAACCTTTGCGGTGGGCTTTGTGATTGTATCGCCTGAGGTATATTCACGATTTGCTTTTTGCGAGCGTTTCTTTGCGAGGTTTCCTGTTAATGGCGTGGTGAGGCGTCTATTGACCAGGACCTCTTTGATGTTTCCCGCCTGGTTCTGCGGTTGCTTCAGAGCCAATACATAGCATCTTAAATGCATTATTTTCTAGCGGGGGTGTCTACTCTTCGTAGCATTTAGAATTCTCCACGTATAAAGATCCATGGATATTTTGACTTGGGCTCTTGCTTGATACTGTTCCGACGTAGATGACAGCATGCACTGCTTGCACATATGAAAGCCCCTGTAGCAAAAAGACAGAGATTCGCTGGAGAGAGTATCGATTAGTGTTACAATTAATGTGTTATTTATTTCGTTTCAAAGCTCTCCAACGACCGTTGCAGGACATCGTGCTGGGACTTAGGTCAACTCAGCTGATAAGCTGCTTGAACCACCTATAATTACATATGTACATTGTCATTCGCCGAGTTTCGTCCAAATTCATACAACCTCATTGGGATAATATTAGAACCAGTGGCAGTACGGCCACAAAAGCCCCCTTCAAGCTGAGGCGCGTGCTTGACGTAGCGCTGTTTTTCTCGCTTTTGCTACTACCACCGGCAGCTGTATTTTCCGCGGCGTAGGTGTAGTAAAGACTAGCAGCTGTCTGCGTGCCTAAGCTATCAACAGCAGTGCTAGTAGGCAAACTGGATGCCGAGGTCCTCGACCATGCATTTGCGAAAGGATAGAATCCTGTCGTTTGGGGATTGGCGCTACAGTAGGCGCTCGAGACTCCCATCACGTAACTCTCTGGGAACCAGTGGTAGCCTCCATGGGAGTTAGTATTTTGATCGAATTAAGAGGACAGCATCACGGTAGGAAATGCTGTAGGGAAAACACACCCTCAATGCCTCCATGCTTTCTGAAACATTCCTGACAACCAGCTGCCGAATCAAAGAATGGATATATGTCACAATAGCAATGCTGCTGGACATCCCAATCGTCCGAATACGTCTGAAGCCCTGAAAACGTGCCGTTTGTGTTTTGGAAGTAGCAATTAGAATTGATCGCTGCTTGTCGTTTACACGGAGCCTCATCGATCAGATAGGTGGGCCTGGGGGACATAGTTGTAGTCGCGTCATCCCTGCGGAAATTGTGGTGTGACAACGGGTTGTACGGTAGGAAGCATTCATTGTAGAGATCAATATCAAGGTCGGTGAGACCAGATTCCTGGGATGAGACAACATAAAACCTGGAGAAATAGGCCCCGTTTGGAAATACGGGGTATTCATCGGAGCCGGTATATGAAGCGGCCGAGCTAGAGGACGTGCTGGTACCAAAGAGGGAGTCGTATGAGTAGGATGACGTGGGTTCCAGGGAGGTGGTCGTTATAGAGGTAGAGGCAGCCATCGCCATAGTCATTGACGATAGGGGTGATCTGTTAAAATTACTTCCAACCTTGGAAGGAGGGCCTCGGGAAGAATGCTTGGCATAATTTGACCAATCAGATCTTTTGATTGGAAGGGGTCGCGATTGGTACGGAGTACATAGGTACATAGGTAGGTATTATTCTTGGCTACAAATACTTTGCTATCAAAGCCTTTCACGTTTGCTTTTAGCGAGAGAAAGATCGAAATGCTTTGATCCCCTATTTTTTTTTTTTATTTTTTTACTTCGACCAGCATTTAAATATCTCCTGGCCTATTTCACCGGTTTTTATTTTCTTCAGAGCGGACATCTTCCATTTTAAGCCTTGGGCCGCAGTATTTGTTAGTTCCTTGCTTATTTTCAGATCGCAATTAAGCTCGGCGTCTCCTCGATGCATCGGACAAATTGGTACTCTTTGACGTATCCCCGGATGCAATAGGCGATGGAGAACGACCTGGGTTTGTCATATATCTGAATCTGCTCATCAGGTAGCCCACACCACCGGAGTTAACACTGCGTTCCCAATCTCCACAAGTATTAGGGAATTCAACTTCTTCGAGATCGATAATCGCTACTTCTCTATTACTGCAGAATAGGAAATTGCCGAGGTTGGTTCCAAAACTCAGCTTCGTGCTCATGTATTGTCTCAAGAGCTTTCTTAAGTTGAGTCTCCAACGTCTTTTTTCGTGGACGTTGGCCTTAGCCAGTTGACGAAGAGTGATTCCGTCAATTTCTGAGAGAACAAACGCCGGACGCCCATTGAAAGAACCTTGACCAAAAAGTGTTGGAATTAAGGTCCCTTGAAGCATTTTCAATCTCTCGTAGGCATATATCTCATTCTGGAACTTCGTCATCCCATCCATCCTTCCGTTGCTTGACAATGACCGATTTTGGAAGACCAAGCTCTGGCCAGTCAATTTGTAAGCGGCATACCGTCGGACGACACTTGTTTAGCAGCGTGAAGTCATGGCTATGGGCCTATCGTCTAGATAGACTGTCTAAGGTTGTGTGAGCTTGGCTGAGTCTTGCATTGATGCCTAGATATTATATCTCACCTGAGAAGAATAGACATCTTCAACAGTATGTTCCATGGCTTGAAGGGTGAAGGGTACAGGTGGAAGAATCCAACAAAGGGAGGGGCTGTATGTATATGGCAGTGCGAGAGGGAGGGAGGAGGTCTCCATGGTTCGGGACTCTAGGGGGGCTGCAGCGTCTCCTCTGTGAAGATATAATATCTTATTAAACTATTTCAGGTCTCTCAAATGCCAATTCCATCTAAAATGTGTCTTCAAAACGTGCTTAGTCTTGTTGGTAGTTGTACATATAGGCACGACCTCGGCGTGGACTCTTCGAGGTGATGAGTCAGCGAAATTCCCCTCTTGGCCGCACTAACCGCTTGTGGAATATAGACTCAAGTCTTTTCCTAAACCTGAGGGATATCGCTGAGAGCCTTGAATTGGGCTGAAGGTAAAAGAATACACAGAAACAAATTCCAACAAGTGTATAGAGCCGAGAGCACTGGATAAAAGTGGTAGCGTTGCCTTTGATCGCATTTGCGTGATCCGACCCGATAGCAAATCCGAAACAACGGCAACCAGCATCAATTCAGACCAAAAGCTGGCGCGAATGATATTAAAATCACGTTATCCAGGACTTTGATACAAAATCAATCAGCATGGATGATCAACGGGGGTCCAGGACTGCCCCCTTCTACGCGGTGCCACCCCGTCGCCTCGTCAGCGTCGAGCACCCTGCCGTGGTCCGCAATGTCGATAAGGCGATCGAGACCTTACAAGGCGATGCCGGAATAAAGACAGTGAGAATAGTTGCACCTCTGTGAGAGTATTGAATATATGCTAAGACAATACAGATCCTGAACCCGGCCCAAGATGGCACACTAGCTAATCTGGTGTTGCGGCCAGAAGATGCGATGGCTCGATCGGTCCAGTCAACGAGCATGCAATCAAATAATGTCCTGCTCAAAGTAACTGTCCCCAAGAGGACAGGACGAAAGCGCAAGAGAGGCTCGAATGAACCTTTTGCAGACGCACCAGAGTCAGAAGCATCCGAGCCGCCCCCGCGACGGACCGCTAAGGATCTCTTGCGTAGTATGAGTGATAACCCTTCCAAGTACCAGATTGAGCCTGTCGGGAGGGTTGAACGAACACATGTGTTCCGAGGTATGTTCACTACTTCGATGATTCATTGTGAGTTTGCTAACGTCTGATATTAGGAATCCCTGATTTCGTTTACTCAACTACGGCGAGTTCCTTTACGAATCGATTCCGAGACCAGATTCTTCCCTTTGACTGTGAGTCCGCTTGACATGAAACCCTTGCGAAGTGACACTAACAACCCACAGTCGACAAGATGAAGGAATTTGACATCGACATGGCTAAAGGCGCCGCCGGGAACGCAGATCTCATCCCACCACCATCATTCAGCCACGGAGACGTCCCATTCCACTACATGTAAGAGCCACCACGTCTAGAACACTAAGCCAAGACCACTAGACCACTAATCACTCCCTCCCAGCTACCGACAAAACCCAACAGTGAAACAAGCAATCGGCCGCTCCGGCAAACTAGAAACCGTAAACACGCAAACCGCCAACAAAGTCCTAACCCACCTAGTCCCCTACGACATACCCAAAGTCCCATCCGAGCCCCGTGCAGACATGCTCCCAATAAGCGCCCTGGACGCAGGCATGCTCCGCACAATCGCCACACTAAACGCTCTGTACGAAAAACAACCAGCTTGGACACGTCGCGGACTCCGCAACAACCTAACAACCGACGAAGACCGCCTGAACCTACGTCACGCAATTCCATACGTAGGCTACATCTTCCGCTCGGGGCCCTGGCGCGACGCAATCATCAAGTTGGGCGTCGATCCCCGCACCTCACCCGAGTACCGACACTACCAAACCTTCATGTTCCGCCTCCTCGCACGAGAAGCAGAACTCGCCCGCGATGGCGGCGGTGGCCGACGCCACAACGTCCCCCGACCAAGCGACCAACGCACAGGCGAAGACGAAAACGCCAACGGGCCATCGACAGGCCACATCTTCACCGGCAAGCAGCCATTCGCACAAGACGGACGAATCTGGATGATCGGCGAGATTCAGGACGCACAGCTGCAGGCCGATTTATATCCGCCGGATGCAGGACCTGGGTTCCTGCGCAGCGAATGCGATATCGTTACCGATGGATGGTTCGGGAATGGCACGCTTGCGAAAGCGAAGATCGTTATGCGACATAAGATCCAGGCGTTGATGGAAGGACGGGAACCTGTTGATGAGGATTATACGAAGATTATGCAACTTCCTGCGCATGCGCGGTCTGAGGCTGATTTTCCGCTTTTCACGCTTGATCCTGATGTTGCGACGCAGAAGGAGATTAGCCTTGCTACGGAGGTTCGGGCGATTATTCGGGGTTCGCCGGTTTGGAGGAATTTGTCTGCTAATGCTGGGTTGGTGAAGAGGGAGGTTGGGGAGGGGAGGGGGAAGGCTAAGGGGAAGCAAGCTTTGAAGGGGAAGAATGTTGAGCCAGAACCGGAGCCGGAGCCTGAGCCTGAGAAGGGCGACGAGGAGAGTGAGGGCGAAGAGGAGGAGATTCAGCGGAGGGAGATGTTGGCTGCTCAGGTTGCGGATGCGGCCGCGGCGAGGGATGCCGATGAAGCTGGCGATGACGACGAGGAAGATGGTGATGGTGATGGTGATGGGGACGATAGTGATGATATGGACGAAGATGAGGACGAGTAACGGGGAATGCTGGAATACTTGGTGGTTGGCTACGTCTAGAGAAATGGTACTTTGTGCCCAAGATAGTCATCAAAAGAATCATTTTAATCATCGCTAAAGCCATGGATAGACTTGGAATACATCGTTAAGCATCAGACATAACACAGACAATAACTCATCAATTAGACGGAATAAAGAAAGCCAATCCGAGTGGTCACAATAGTGAAGCAAAAAAAGATACAGAATTCATAGCAAACGTTATACCAAAACACCTGATAGGCTGAACAACCAGTGTCCATAAATAGAGAAACACCAACGACCAAAAATCAAACGCCAAAGAATCGAGCAAATAGGTATAGTTATTGGGGCCGAACCCAGGCCAAAGAACAGCGCCATTGAACTTGATGCAGATGCAGATGCAAGGAATGACGAGAAGTCAGGTCAAAGAGCAGAGTCGGTGCTCTCAGTTGAGTTCTCGTGATATTCGTGCTGGGTTTCAGCAGCCGGTGAAGTAACCGCATCTAAAACAGAAGCGATGGAAGTAGTGACAACTGCCTCTTGGCTCTGAGAAAGAGGCGAAGAAGGCTTCTTGAACTCGGGAGCATGCTCTTCATCATAGACGATTGTGTAGGAGAAAGCATTGCAGTCCTCGGCATAGTATTCAGCAGCATTGAGCTCACCGAGCGGAGCACGGGGCTCCTCCATCTTGGGCGACTTGCGAGAGGCGGCAGGGATAGTAGCGGCGGACTGGCGAGCTTGGGGGAGTTCGATGCCCAGCTCGTGAGGGGGAATATTCTCCTTTCCACGGGTGCAGGTGTCCAATTTTCCCTCGTCGTCACTGATATCGAGAACAGTAGTAGAGTGTTGCATCAGGTTGGTCATTTCCTCCTGCTCGGTGTCGACGTGGATATCGAAGGCCCACGAGGCAGGGGCCTTGGGAGCAGGTGCAGGCTTGGGAGTTGTAGATTGGGCGAGGACAGAGGCAAGAGAGAAGGGACGAGCGACGCCGCGCTTGGTATATTGCTCTGAGCGGGGCTTGGAGATGAGTGAACGGCGAGTGGCGGACTTGCTCAACTTTGGTGGTGGGGAGCGACCAGCGGGCTTGAGAACTGGAGCTGATTTGGGAGTTGTAATTGTGGAGATCTTTGAAGGGGTTGAGAGACGGGGGGAGATGTTGATGCGGGTGGAAAGAGCGATGCGGGATATTTTGATGGGCTTGGACGCGCTCTTCTCCTCGTCGTCCTCGAATGTACGCTTGCGTTTTGTGGAGAAGCTGGCTGGGTTGATATTCTCAGAATCGGCGTCAATGAAGATAGAGCTCTTCATTGGGGTGGACTTCATAGACATGGCACCTGGTTGAGATTGTAAGCTAAGCCATCTTGGGAAGATCAAAACATGGGCCATGACGTACCATTTTGCTGGTTCTGACGATTAAGTTTTGAGCGCATCAATGGCATCGTATCCAAGCAGCCCAAAGGCTGACGAGTAGGAGTCATAGTGAGAGTGGCCATGGTGAAGGGAAGAAGGGAAGAGAGGGATGTTTTGTTTTGGTCAGCGCCAAGTGGGGGGAGCCTTGGAGGATTGGCGGTCTACAATAGGCACTAGACAGGCCGATCGCACGATTCAAAGAGAAAGAGGGGAATTGTGTAAGACAGATGAATCGAAGGACTCAAAACAATTAAAATGATTGAGATAATTGAAAGATAGAAATTGGTCGGATGAAATTCGGATAAATGAAGGAATGGGTATGTAGGATATGGTCGACTACACCGTTGAGAGAGAGAACGAGGGATGATTCGGGGTAAAAAGACGTGCAGCGATGAGGTAGATATAATAAGTTTTGATGTTAAGGACGTTAAGAGTTTAGAATTGGAGGGTTCAGAGGCAAGGAGCAGAGGACATGAGGAGTCACAAATGGAGGGCGAAGGGAACTATTTCAAGGCCTGCATACTCCGTAAAGCGCGTCGCGTTCACGTTGAGGCCAATTCGAAAAGTGGCGTTTATGCGATTCCCAGCACAATCCAATTGACTTTCATTCTTCGATGTCTCGTGTCATTTTGTGTGGGAACAATGGTAATATGCAGATCACTACGCGCTTTTCCGTACTCCGTACTATGATCTATACTATATCGTATTATATCACAGTGCCATTGTTCTACCATGTTGTACACAATTAATTCTTCCTAATTTCCCTAGAATTGCCCGTAGAAGTAAATCATTACCAAAATTACCCGGGCAAAAGGTCAAAAGCACAATTCCCCCCCGCTGAGCACTGCATGGCGCGTATCCCTTGGACGCGTCGGTCAGCAGCCTAAGTACCCGGTACTTGGGATCCACCCACTAGTGCATACATCGCGTAAGTACCAAATACCTTCACGTCCACGTCTTGCACGTTCCTTCGCGCGCGACTTCGCGTTCACGTTTCTTCCTTGCGCACTGTGCGCTCATTCGTGACCAGCAGCGTCTACAATTGCACCAAGAGTATGTTGCATAAAATACAATAAAACTCTGCCAACGCATCTGTCTCCATTGGCTATGCCCCATCCGGACTCAGGTTACCGGATGAAACCATGCATGCAGAGGCCGATCGGGGGCTGCTCGGGTTTGAGGTGAATGTGGAACATTGTACGAAGTTTCGTCTTAGGGGAAGGGTTGGAAGTGTCTGGGGGTGTCGCACACTCAAGGCTGGGGAATGTTCTCTGGCTGGCTATCTAGGTGGTTCAAAGTAGGAATTTGCCCCTGAAGGCTGTTCCAAGGTGTAGAATGATGGAGGGTTATTAATAGGGATATTACGGAGTACATGGACAGGGTTTCCAAGGTTTGATGGCACCTGTGCCCCCTGTTCCTCGTGGACTCGGGTGATTTTCCTCGGCGGATTGATCCTTGTTGCATTCCTCGCGAAGCCCGAGAGCCTATCCTTGGTGCCATCGACGTAAAATCGCGTCTGCGTTTTACTAAGAGCGGGGAATTCCGACCGGAATAGTCCATCCAGCCTGTAGCCTCTAGTGATATAATAATGTACATGACCACAGACTTGCCGCGGCAGTTGCCTCAGATCTCGTCCTCAAATGGAATGCTGTCCATGGCACCTTGACGTTCCACAGCCCGAGCCGAGGCACGCGCAGCCAAATGCATCGCCTCGTCCATGACAGTCTTGTACCGGTATGCCTTTTCATTATCCGCAAGATCCTGCCCAGCCTTGCCCTGCGCGCGACGCTGCTCGCGCCATCGTGCCACCCTGACAGCGTAGGCCCCAACAAACGTATCCCCCGCGCCAGTAGTATTCAAGACCCGAGAGACATGGGCAGCTGGAATGTCGTTGGTGAAGCGCTGTCCTCCGTCACTAGTTCCAGACGAGCCGCCATCCGCGGCACTGTACCAAGCGCCCTTGGCCCCGAATGTGATCAGGATGTAGGTGACACCCAATTTGTGGAAATATCGAGCGACCTTCTCCTTATCATCCAAGGCCTCTGCGTCCGGAACCGTGCGAAGTAGTTGCTCCGCAGGGGGAGTTATCAGCTCAGCCTCCGTCTCATTCAGGATCAAATGATCGACAGCAGCGAAAACATCCTGGGGTAAACCACCAGGTGGCGCAGGTGCCGGGTTAAGCAGAACATCTGGACCGCACTCGATGCCACGTTTTCCAGCAGCGCGAGCCTTAGCCTTGTAAGATGCAATCTCACGCAGTATTCCGATAACCGTATCGACCGGGATCTCACCTTGCATGACAATGACGTCGGGTACGGGCGCCGCTAGCGCCATTCCCAGCACCTCCGGGGTAAGCTGCATACCATCGTAATTCGCACCCGGCGAGAAGAGAATGCGGTTCTCGCCGCCAGCTGAGGAGTCCACGATGATCACGGCCACACCCGTGTATGCATTCTCGATGACTTTGACTCTGGACGGGTCGACTCCGGATCGTTCGAGAGTCGGCTGGAGCAGGGCGGAGAAGTGGGTGTCCAGAGCGCCTACTGCACCTATCATCTCGACATTGACGTCGCTTGTGGAGTTTGTGGTGCCTGTTGGCTTGGCTCGGGACATTCGTCCGCATGCTACGGCTTGGTTTGCGCCCTTGCCGCCCGCGCTGGTGAAGTAGGATGATGAGGTTATTGTCTCGCCTGGGTCTGGGAATCGCGGTGTGACTGAGACCATGTCCGCATTGAGAGATCCAATGGCTCGGATAAGAGGTGCCATGGCGGAGAAGGTGATTCAGCTCGGTTTGTGGATTGTAGCTCGGGAGCTGGTTGTGTCTTTGGGTCGGGCTGGGAAAATTTGGAGATCGTTGGAATGGTGTAAATGGGAGGCGACGTAGATTTTACAGATGCTAGAATGGTCAGCAGGTGAGTGACAGTCCAAAACCTTTGATTAGGCAATTGAGAGTGACAAGGCTTGAAATGGGAAAGTACTTGTAATGACGTCTGGGCGGGGCGGATCGGATGTGGATATGTGGGGCCGACAGCCACACTTCCGTGGATCCGATCTACGATGTATACCCACGTCTATTTTGACAACATACATATGGAGAAAATCATTTTAACAACATTCATGTTAGGGAAATTGAACAAGGGCTTCCTCCTTATCAAAAGAAAATTTTACATATATTTAATGTAATTCAAAATTCAATACTACCGGTAAGGATCAATTTCTGTTGTAGTGCAAGTGAAAAGCAAAGAAGAGGTAGGAGGAGCTGGAGGGACTGAGCCTTGAAATAAGAACATGTACAAACCTAGATTCTCGCCTATCTCCAATGAGATAAATATAGAGCAAATAACATAGAGAATAAACCAAGGTACCGGTAAATTAACATAAGACGCACGAAGTAAAAAAAGATTGGGGTGAACTTTGAACCCCCCCTAGGTTTGTGCACTCCTGGGGAGGAACCAGGTAAAACCCAATCGATCTCCCTATCACGAACTGACCCACAATAGTCAGGATGCTGAAAATTCCAAGGAACTAGCCACTGAGCTATAAGGGGGTTTCTTGATAAACCTTACCTTTCAGTTAAACTTAACGAACACTTTGTCCCCACAAATTAGTCACATCACCCTCGAGTCCACCTCATCATATCCAATATGTATCAGAGTCAAAGGGAGAATATATTAAGAAAGATATAAAATAATATAAGAGTACAAATTAAAACCAAAAAAATGAACCCCCCCTAGGTTTGTGCAATCCTGGGGTCGAACCAGGTAGATCACAAACCCAACTGACCTCCCTATCACGACCTGGTCCGCCATAGCCTCAGGAGAGTCAACATTCAAAGGACTTGACCACTGAGCTATAAGGGGTTTTCATTGAAAATATCACTGTTCAGTGAAACCTAACAAACAATTTGTCCTCACAAACAAGTTACATCACCATTGACTCCACCTAACCATATCCAATATTAGCCTCTTAGATTAAAAGGGAGGTTGAATTGACAAAAATGGAAGAATAGCATAAGAGGCACGAAGAAAAAAGAAAAAAGTAATGAACCCCCCCT